CTCACATCCCAGTTCCAACTCAATGCCCCACGTTTTCACAATGAGGCACAATTCCGCTCAGCCTTGATCGAGCCTACCATCCGTGTCTTGGCAAAAAAGGCGAATGGTCTCTTCCTATGGGCTCAACTCGCCTTTGAAGTCTTTTTGTCGGCGGAAAATCCTACAAAGTCATTGCTCAACCTGGTAGAAGAAGATGCGTTGGCAACAATAGACGGGTTGTATCTAGAGATGTTGCTCTTGATACAGGTCAAGTTGGATCGCAAAGACAAAGAGTTGGATAAGGAGCTCCTATCAACCTTCAATCCGTCGAAGGGAGATTGGGCAGGACAGGTTAAGGTGCTTACGGGAGAGAGATTTCCCAAAAATGCCCTTTCCCTTGTGCTCTCTCTTATTGCCCATTCTCTAGAGACCCTTTCTGTCGGGACCATTGCAGAATTTACCGGCTTGGGCCTCGAACGTACGTGGGCACTCTTGCAGTACTTGCATATCGTACTCGACATCTGTCCACGAGGAGATACCGTATATCCATCGAGACCATCCGAACGGCGTTACTCCATGTCCCGCTCCAACATTGCGCTCCCCAATTCACCTAACTCCCCCAGCAGCCCTCTTCCTTCTACTAGTCCAAAGCAAAGTAAACGGCGTGCTCCCTCGAAATCTCGCCATTCAGCCTTATCGCCTTCTCGAAAAAGGCGTCCTAGCGCACTCTCCCTCAAAAAGTCGAGTACCTCTCTCAATGCTGGTTCTACGCCATTTACAGATATACCATTCCCCATGCCTTCAGGAGAACCAGATACGTCGATGGACCTCATTAAAACAGCGGGTTTGTCGACTGCCTTCCCAGGACAGTCTGGTCCGGATTTGAGGAGTGGTGCGCTTGTCCGTATCAAGCATGCTACATTCCGAGAATGGCTATGTCAAAGTCATCCCCCGACCTTGATTAGCAGTCTTATCGGTGCTTCAGTTGACGAAGAGGAGGATTTGCGATTTGTAGTCGCCCCGACAGAGGAAGTTGGCCAAGCAATGTTGGCTAAGGGCAGTTTAGGTCTGCTTACTACCAGCGCGGCTTCTGCTGCCTCTCTGGATTCTCATAAAGACGATGCTGACAAGCCAGTCGACGGCAAACCCAAATCTGTCAAGGATGGCGAGAACACTCAGCAGGAAGAAATGCTTGACTATGCGGGTCGATACTGGCCTGCCCACTGTGCATCCCTCATTTCTGCTCTTCACTCAGTCGATGAAAGCGCCATGTATGCCAACTCGACCATGACCCCAGGTTCTCGTTGGTACGACCTTCGACAAGATATGTTGCAGTTCTTGAAGACAAACTTGCTGTGGTGGGTTGATACCTGCTGCTCCAAGAAGTGGATCAAACAGGCGCGTTCTGGTATGGTGGAATTACGAGAGGTGTTGCTGGTTAGTAAAGTTTCCAACGTAGCCTATACTTAGTACTAACATCCCCTATCTAGGATGTAATTCCCGAAGAAGATCTTCAGGCGGATATAAATGACTTAACTCAATGGGTTGAGGAAGCCATTCGTCTCCTTGATAGTCCCAGTGGTGCTTCTTCTATCCCAATTGATAATCGTACCGACGATCACTCCTTGATCTGGAGACATTACAGTACAGAGCTTGTGCGCAGAGAAGAGGCATTGGAGATACTAAGGAGAGAAGAAGAGAGGCGCAAGCGAGAGGAAGAAGATCTCAAAGCTCGAGAAGAGGAAGAACGCAGAATCCGTGAAGAAGCTGAACGTAAAGCCCGGGAGGAAGCTGAGCGAAAGGCTCGAGAAGAGGCAGAACGTAAAGCCCGAGAGGAAGCCGAACGTAAATCCCGCGAAGAAGCAGAGTGCAAAGCTCGTGAGGAGGCTGAACACAAAGCTAGGGAAGAAGCCGAACGCAAAGCAAGGGAAGAGGCCGAGCGTAAGACTCGTGAGGAGGCTGAGAGAAGAGCACGAGAGGAAGCTGAACGTAAATCCAGAGAAGAAGCGCTCCGAAAAGCTAGAGAAGAGACCAAGCGGATCTCGCGTGAAGCAACGGAACAAAAGGCGCGTGAGGAAGCTGAGCGTAGGGTACGAGAAGAAGCAGAACGCAAGACCCGAGAAGAGGCTTTACGGATGGCACAACGAGAGGCCGAACGTGCAGCTCGGGAAGAAGCTGGACGTAAAGCAGCTCGCGACGAGGCTGAACGCAAAGTACGAGAGCAAGCTCATAGGAAAGCTCATGAAGACGCCGAACGCATAGCCCGAGAAGTAGCCGAGCGCAGCATTCAGGAGGAAGTTGCGCGCATAGCCCAAGAGGCCGAGCGTAAAATTCAAGAGGAGGCGGCTCTCGAGGCCCGACAAGAGGCTGATCGAAAGGCAAAGGAAGAACTCGAACGCAAGCTCCTTAAAGAGGCAGAGGCACGAACTCGAGAGGAAGAACGAAGGAGGCGAGCGATGCAAGAACAAAAAGAATCAGCTACGCGTAAACGACGTGAAACTGAGGGTAGCGACCACAGAGTCCCTCAGGAAAGAGAAGCTGGCCCCAGGTCAGTCCTTCCAAGAGGACGAGCGAGATCGGACGGGGCATCTATCACTAATGCTGGTGTCCTAGATCTTAAACTTCCCGAAGATATGTCGCTACTAGATTCTTTTGCCGCGCTCTCTTTTGGAGATGACTCTTTCCAAGTTGACTCCCCGACAACAGCCTCAAGATCTAAAGTTCCTAAAGCTGCATCAGATTCCAATACTGATGGAGATGGCCACCTCTCAACAGACAAAGATTCCACACGTTCCATCCCTGTAACTCCTACTTCTGATCTTGAGCCTTCTATTCCTACATCTCGTGATGAAACTGCCAAGATTCGTCTGTACACCAGATCACCTGCCCCTTCCAATGCCCCAACTGTACGCCCTACACCTGCAGAGGCCAGTTCGAAAACCCCCAAACTGGACACATTCAGAGCCACTAATTCTAATCCTCGTTCTGGTGCTGGACGAAGACCTGTTGCTCCTCAACCAGGCCACTCTGGTGCAGGGCTCTTCCCTGCCCTTGCAATGTTCCAAAATATGGGCCAGTCTAGTCAATCCCATAGTAACAGCGGTACACTCCGCCATGGTGTACAAGGTCCCCCTCGAATTGAACTCGCAAGGCCTCAACCATGGGAGTCAAACCAAAGTAGGAGGAAAACTTCCAATCCCGCAACACCCCAAACACAACCTTCTACATCTATTGATCCTCAAGCTGAGGCCACAGCTACTTCTCCACGGTGAATCCGGACAAGAGTCCTTCCCAGGACTCAAGAATATTCTATCAAGTCTGATTAATAAACCGCCCCTCTCAAAAGGGGCAACTTTGTAGAGTGTGTAAGCCTTGTACTTCGTCATAATATTCGGCATCGGGTTGCCATTTTCCTCTGTTTACATCTGTACGCCTCCGCCCCAGCGCATCTGATAAAGGACTCTTGTGTAATTCATATTCCCAAAATCTCGTCTGTATATGCTGGTATATCGAGTGGTATTTCCTTTAATATTGCGTCTCAATGTCAGGTTTTGAACTAATGGTCGAAAGGATCTCGCCCACTACAGAAAATCTTCTGGACGCGACCATAGCCTGGAATAGCCAACTCCATGTTCTGAAGTTCACAGTACGGTACCATAAATCTGAACTCTGGAAATAATATACAGAACGCCTATTGGAGCAAAGGATGCAAGCAGCAGTACTGCAGTCGATTGTATGTTGGCCATATACGCGAATATGGTGATGTGGTCTAAGCTCACAATACTCTTTTTTTGTTCTATCATCAGAGAAGACGCACTATTTCACGGGCTTCAGGCGCATATAATACTCGTTCAAGTTTTCCTCGCACTCTTTCAACCACAACTGTCTCTGTAAGGCCGCTCGACTCAAACGCCCGCCGTTATACTAAATCGTTCGTTTTGAGCAGTCATTTTCTCGACAAAATGTTCGAGTTACCGCAGTAGGCTACGGACTAAATCCAGCCGGACTTGGAAGCGCAAGAAACTACTGGTGGAGTTCGAAATCGACACCCCCGAACGAGAAAACTTCACCTGAGGCTCAAGATCTATCCAAAGTCGAAACAAGTAGCTCCCCAGAAGTAGCCGCAACGCCTGCACCGAATGCAGCGTCAGGAACGTCGACCGGCACATCCAGTTCACAACTCAAAGATGTTGCGTCGAGCTCGCCGTCAGAACCAGTCTCTACCGCATCAGGAACGGAGCTTTTACAAGCTACAGACGGCGCAACGGGAACGGTAGCTACAAATACAGCAGCCGAGGCAGCACAATCTCTGGATTCGCTAAACGCGAATATTGCTGACCTTGCAGCGGTGGCTAGTGCAGACTACTCTCACCTCTTCTCACTTTGGCCACCTGGGCTTTTCTTGCGCGTCTATTCCTGGGTGGAACACATCGTCCCGTACTCTTCCCATATCCTATGCATGGCCATTGCCGTTTCCGCCCTTCGTGTGCTCATTGTACCCCTACAAATCCGAGCTCAGAAGGCGGGTGCACGCTTTGCTCCTTACCAAGACGAATGGACGTCCCTGCAAGAGAAGTATCAGCAGTCGATATTGGAAAAGGATCGAGTGAGGCAAATGGAGTTGGCACAAAGGATGTTGGAGATCAGAAAAGTTGCTGATCTCAAGCCTTTTGCTGCTATTGCCCCAGCCTTTGGTGCTATCTGCCTTGGTATAGGTAGTTTCCTTGGAGTAGGAAGACTGGTCATATACCATCGCGAAGTGGTCGAGATGGGTGGAGTCGGCCCCTTGGCCAACCCTGGTGGCTTATTTGGTACAGGTTTCCTCGAGAACCTTGCCGATTTTAGCCCTGCTATGCTGGTCATTATGACTGCCATCACATGGGTCAGTGGGCGAAGAGCAGCAATGGACGCGCCGAAATACAACAAAACCATGGCCCGAATGCCATCTCTCATGACCCCAATTGCACTATTCTTCGGCTACATAGCGCACTTCTCGGCAGCTCAGATGATTGTCGCGTGTACTTCTATTGGCTTCAACATTGCTCAGTCCTATCTCCTCCGGGTTCCTCGCATTCGTACCATGGTAGGAATGAACATGGTACCGGTTCAGGATTCCAAGACCTTTGTACACGTACCACTTGTCAGTGCATGGAGAGAGACCTTCGGGGATATCAACAACTGGAGCGAGAAGCAAGCCATCAAGAAGTTAGAAGCCGAGAGGAAGTTGTCAGAGGAACGTGCCGCACTGATGAGGTCCAGAGGAATTCTCGACAAGGACATCCTGAAGGTCAAGGACGCGCCAAGGAGTCGAGGAACACCTCCCCCACCACCTCCCTCGCGTAGTCTATTCGAAGGAAGTGGTAAATCAAAGACATCCTCCTCATCTAAGAGATCAAATTCGTCATAGCTACAGGTATCTCTCCTGGGAAAGGGACGGGGCTGCCACTGATGGCGATAAAGCTTACACCCTTCAATGTGTGCTTTGGACCAGGTGCTTGCGTTTGGGGTTCACGTCTTGTTATCAGTGTCTCTGGTTACACCACTCTATATACATGTAATTTATATCCTTTCTACTATTAGCAGTCATCTTCACTTTGCATCCATTCATCGCGTCAACACATCTGAGCAACATATTCTCTGCTTATCACTGTCAGCCGGTCGAGGTATAGCCTAAACTCGCTGTTGGAGGGATATCGTTCAAATACGTGTTCACTTGGCGAGCGCCTAGGAACTATGGAGGGTGGAGATGGAAAGGATCGAATTTCGAGTCTTGAACCTGACGTCTTCACGGCTGGCCGTCCCACCAAAAAATCCATACTCGTCAAGGGACGCCCAATGGACTCGTCAATAGGTAGAAGAGAATCAAGTGAACAGGAGGAGTTATACAGCTCCTGGTCCCTGTTCATCGTCTGTCTATTGCTTATTCTCTCGCTCCTCACTTCCTATT